GCAAGCAAGTAGACATGGCATCAAATCAAACACAAGCATAAAAGATCTGTCAATCTGCATCATAAGTAGAGCTACACAGCAACAGGACATTTCAGCAGCAGGGCTACACACCAATCAATGATCAGAAAAGACACCAACATCATGTCCTGTCCTGGATAATGCAGCACCGCAGTGGACCAACAGCAAGCAACAGAGGTGTCTTGCATGTACACGTACACAGATTTTGCTCTGCTCAACCAAGCAACGAACAACACGATAGCAATCAGATACATTCAAATTGTGTCAAACGGAACCAAACCAAAGCAATCAACATCACCAAGTTGTGTCCGGAAGAACATCAATCAAATCAAATATAATCAGATGTGCAGGGGGTCGGGTAGAACACCACTTGAGATGGGGAGGCACTCACCACTTGAGATGTGCAGCAGCCACGTCTGTCAGGGGGGGGGGGGGTTGCTTCTGCTGGTTCCACCTGCAGCAGCAACATGGTGCCCCCATGGTGGTCGGAGGTATGTTCGCTTGCCATCCAGAAGTTGCTTCTAGTTTTTGAACTGTGAAAAAAATATTCATTTTAGTTGAGCGGCACTGAGTCATGCCAAGAATATCATGTGGAAGGTTTTTGCTTGACCGCTCATGAACAACAAAGTGTAGATTTTCATCATCTAGTACTTCATCCTAAATAATTGGATGGTGCCATGATTTCTCACTGGATGAAATGAATGGAGATGTCATCAGCAAATCAGAGATAGAACATAACTGTTGTCGTCAGCATCAATTAGAGACAGAAAAAATTAATTCTTGTAAAAGCAAATTTTGCACACAGCCAAGTACTTTTCCTAAGTGTTTAATGCTCTGTATCATCAATTCAGTTGGAAAGAATCGACCAATGGTACGAGCAGAATTCCTATCAGAATCGCAAATCAGAAGAACACACCCCCTAATAAGCCTGAAGTCTGAACAATTCGTTTATTTTTGGACAGTGGCTACCACCAAGCATTGGAATGTAAAATGTTTGTAGCAAAAAGGCTTGCTCCACTAGAGATTTCTTCTCGTACCATTGTAAAATGTTTGCAGCAAAAAGATTTGATTTCTAAGCACGAGCTTACGCAACCACATTTAGTACATAATGTGTGTGTTTTTGGCCTCGAGCATCTACCAAGTAAAATTACTACCCACAAGCAGCCTTCAGAAGTTCAGTCTTAGACAAGCCAAAGATTACAATATAAGTGCCAGACCCAATTGTAACGAGCCATACTGCGTAATATGCCTTCTTGATCTCACCCTGGTCAGCGTCCTTCTTCACGCCGAGCACGTCGTAGTAGTCCCTCACCACCATGGGCCTAGTCCCTGCACGCATCCACAGACCTTAGGGCAAGCTCACCAAACCGGGAACAAATGAGAACCACAAGGATTAAGGTACACATGGCATTTTCCTAGTCTGCAGTCACTAAATATATGAAAGGAGTACGACGGAAATACAGTAAAATATTCCAGTTCACTTGTCGATTAAGAGACTAATGAAACCGGTCACTCTAAGCATACTAGAGCTTCAAACCTCAAGCTAAACAGAGTAATACTAGTGCATACAAAACCTCAAGCTAAACAAAATATGCAGTACCTAGGAAGTAATCATCATATTTTCACAAAACCAACATGCAATGCAGACATATATACTCATACAAGAAGATCACTGCCTGCAGTTTTATTTAGATGACATACACTGCAAAAATCTTAAGAGAGAATAACTGCAGCGAGCAATTTAGTTCATGATTAAGCAAGCAAGTAGACATGGCATCAAATCAAACACAAGCATAAAAGATCTGTCAATCTACATCATAAGTAGAGCTACACAGCAGCAGGACATTTCAGCAGCAGGGCTACACACCAATCAATGATCAGAAAAGACACCAGCATCGTGTCCTGTCCTGGATAATGCAGCACCGCAGCGGACCAACAGCAAGCAACAGAGGCGTCTTGCATGTACACGTACACAGATTTTGCTCTGCTCAAGCAAGCAACGAACAACACGATAGCAATCAGATAAAATCAGATTGTGTCAAACGGAACCAAACCAAAGCAATCAACATCACCAAGTTGTGTCCGAAGAATCGTGTGTGTTTATGTGCACATCAATCAAATCAAATATAATCAGATGTGTAGGGGGCCGGGTAGAACACCACTTGAGATGGGGAGGCACTCACCACTTGAGATGTGCAGCAGCCACGTCCGTCAGGGGGGGGGGGGGTTGCTTCTTCTGGTTCCACCTGCAGCAGCAACATGGTGCCCCCTTGGTGGTCGGAGGTATGTTCGCTTGCCATCCAGAAGTTGCTTCCAGTTTTTGAACTGTGAAAAAATATTCATTTTTGTTGAGCGGCACTGAGTCATGCCAAGAATATCATGTGGAAGGTTTTTGCTTTGACCGCTCATGAACAACAAAGTGTAGATTTTCATCATCTGGTACTTCATCCTAAATAATTTGATGGTGCCATGATTTCTCACTGGATGAAATGAATGGGGATGTCATCCGCAAATCAGAGATAGAACATAACTGTTGTCGTTAGCATCAATTAGAGACAGAAAAAATTAATTCTTGTAAAAGCAAATTTTGCACACAGCCAAGTACTTTTCCTAAGTGTTTAATGCTCTGTATCATCAATTCAGTTGGAAAGAATCGACCAATGGTACGAGCAGAAGTCCTATCAGAATCGCAAATCAGAAGAACACACCCCCTAATAAGCCTGAAGTCTGAACAATTCGTTTATTTTTGGACAGTGGCTACCACCAAGAATTGGAATGTAAAATGTTTGTAGCAAAAAGGCTTGCTCCACTAGAGATTTCTTCTCGTACCATTGTAAAATGTTTGCAGCAAAAAGATTTGATTTCTAAGCACGAGCTTATGCAACCACATTTAGTACATAATGTGTGTGTTTTTGGCCTCGAGCATCTACCAAGTAAAATTACTACCCACAAGCAGCCTTCAGAAGTTCAATCTTAGACAAGCCAAAGATTACAATATAAGTGCCAGACCCAATTGTAGCGAGCCATACCGCGTAATACGCCTTCTTGATCTCACCCTGGTCAGCGTCCTTCTTCACGCCGAGCACGTTGTAGTAGTCCCTCACCACCATGGGCCTAGTCCCTGCACGCATCCACAGACCTTAGGGCAAGCTCACCAAACCGGGAACAAATGAGAACCACAAGGATTAAGGTACACATGGCATTTTCCCAGTCTGCAGTCACTAAATAAATGAAAGGAGTATGACAGAAATACAGTAAAATAGTCTAGTTCACTTGTCGATTAAGAGACTAATGAAACCGGTCACTCTAAGCATACTAGAGCTTCAAACCTCAAGCTAAACAGAGTAATACTAGTGCATACAAAACCTCAAGCTAAACAAAATATGCAGTACCTAGGAAGTAATCATCATATTTTCACAAAACCAACATGCAATGCAGACATATATACTCATACAAGAAGATCACTGCTTGCAGTTTTATTTAGATGACATACACTGCAAAAATCTTAAGAGAAAATAACTGCACCAAGAAATTTACTTCACGATTAAGCAAGCAAGTAGACATGGCATCAAATCAAACACAAGCATAAAAGATTTGTCAATCTGCATCATAAGTAGAGCTACACAACAGCAGGACATTTTAGCAGCAGGGCTACACACCAATCAATGATCAGAAAAGACACCAACATCGTGTCATGTCCTGGATAGTGAAGCACCGCAGCGGACCAACAGCAAGCAACAGAGGTGTCTTGCATGTACACGTACACAGATTTTGCTCTGCTCAAGCAAGCAACGAACAACACGATAGCAATCAGATACATTCAGATTGTGTCAAACGGAACCAAACCAAAGCAATCAACATCACCAAGTTGTGTCCGGAAGAATCACGTGTGTTTATGTGCACATCAATCAAATCAAATATAATCAGATGTGCAGGGGGCGGGTAGAACACCACTTGAGATGGGGAGGCACTCACCACTTGAGATGTGCAGCAGCCACGTCCGTCAGGGGGGGGGGGTTGCTTCTTCTGGTTCCACCTGCAGCATCAACATGGTGCCCCCTTGGTGGTCGGAGGTATGTTCGCTTGCCATCCAGAAGTTGCTTCCAGTTTTTGAACTGTGAAAAAAATAATCATTTTAGTTGAGCAGCACTGAGTCATGCCAAGAATATCATGTGGAAGGTTTTTGCTTTGACCGCTCATGAACAACAAAGTGTAGATTTTCATCATCTGGTACTTCATCCTAAATAATTGCAGATCCATTATTCTAGCACAAATAAGGCCGATAGTATGCTATGTTATTACACAAAACAAGCGTGGTTACTGATTCGGACTCCAGTGAATACAATCAACAGGTACAAAAGAAATCGCGCACTGTTATGACTGACGAGACATCCTTCTCTAGGTTCAGATTCAGAACAATTGGACAAACAACTCAAGTGTAACACAAATTTCGGTATAGAAGTCATGGAATTGAACTAAGAACTAGCAGCAAGGGAACACAGATTTGCACCTCATCATCTGCCACCTCCTTCTCATCGTCTTAGAAAATGGCAGAGCATTACTTCACTTGTAAAAATGTTCTTTCCAGCACAAATAGGGAGAACCGGGAAGCACGAAAAATGTTCGGGTTCTCTTGCCATGAATATCCTTAGGTTACCAAGTCAACCGATTATACCAAGAACTGCTGGCAGGACACAATTTTGGGTATATTAGAAAATACGACCATTTGTCCCTCGGCAACGGCGAGAAATATTGTTAACTGAATATTGTTACACTGAGTATTGTCCTAGTGTTAACTGAATATTGATCCCTAGTGTTCACTGAATCTGCATCTAAACTGAATACTGATCCTAGAAATTGCTTGCACATAATACTGGATTAATACATTTGTTCAGTATAGCAGAGTCCTTAAACAAGCAATGATATTTTATCAGTGTTGAACAAGCAACTCTAGTCTAAATTTGAACAAGCAATGGTATTTGTCAATGCTGGAGATACAGTCAAAACTGTAATCACAAAGAATGATTGAACAAGCAATGGTCATTTCATCCCAAACCTCTCAGCTTCACACAACTAAATCAATGTCCCGGGAAGGAATCACCAGAAATTTTACCACATACAGTACAAGCACAACGAAGTAGCATACCGAACAGTAGAGCAGGTAGCAGGGAAGGAGAGGGGGGCTGAGGAGCGGCCGCTTGCCTTGGCGACGTAGTCCATCTCGGCAAATTTGAAGGCGATGTCAAGGCAGCCGAAGAGGACCGAGATGTTGGAGCAGGCACGCGAGAAGTCCCCCGCCGCCATCGTGGGCTGCTGCTGCGGCTTGGCGACGGCCGCGAACTGCTCGAACGATGCACCGATCCACCGCAGCGGCTTGTCTGCCTCGTTGGACCCCATCGGCATCGGTGGTGTTTAGCGCCGCCGCGGTGGTGCCCACGGCACCAAGGATCTCGCGGTTTCTCAGGGAGTGGCTCGCTGCCTCCAACGCCGCTAGGGCCGACGCTACCATCGCGTCGCCAGGGCCGCAGCCACATGGTTGACGGGCGCCACGCGGATGCGGTTGCGGATCTGGGCCCTGACGGCGTGGACCCCCTCCGCCAAGGGCACCCTGCCGCCGGCCGCCACAGAGGGGTTGGCCATCAAAGAGGAAGGGTCTCAGGCTAGGGTTTCGGCTGGAAGTGGGGAGTGTCGGTCGGCTCGGCATGGAGGAGGCCGAGATTGGGGGAGAAGCGGTTGGGTATATCCAGAGATCCAGAGAGGAGGAGAGGAGGAGGAGTCGTGGGTTGGGGGTGATCGATCCAGAGAGGAGGAGTAGGAGTCGTGGAGTTGGAGGGTTGGAGGGGATCGATCCATATGGATCTCGCCGGACAGAGGGCGCCGGAGGTGGTGGCGGACAGAGGGTGCCGGAGGTGGTGGCGGCCAGGGAGGAATGTAGCGCTAGGTTCGAGAGAGAGAGGAGGGCGCGATGGGTTGGGTGCGGTTGGGTGCGTGGGAGGAGTGCGGGTTGTGGGTTGGGCGACATGGGTGAGACAGGCGGGCCGTTGGATCCAGGAACATTCGACGGTGATTAGGCACGATCCGCGTGAGATGTTCCTGGACCAATCAGAACGCAGTATACCAGTACTATATTTTTTCACCATCTAAATTGGTCGTAATCGACTAAAAGTAAGGTGCTAAATCATATTAGCTATTTTATGATCTGAAAAATAAAAATAAAAATAAAATACCTTCTCATGTTTCATCAAATTTGACCTTAGTTTTCAGGAATAATGACAAATCGAAATAAGAAAAATATTTTTAAAAGAGTTAGGAGAAATTAGTTTTTTTAAATCATTTTCCATTTTTGAAGTGTCCAAAGTGAGTTTTTTTGTGAAGGACATACTATATATTTGTTGTAAAATTGTACCAAATTAATTTTCTAAAATAATAAGCCATATATAATGCACAACTGACCAAATAGTTGAGTGTCCAAAGCTTTTATCCACCTCTCGTGAAAAAGACAAATATCCGCCGATTCAGTTGGAAGCGGGTCAAATTTGAAATCAATGGCTTTCAAGCCAAATGATAAGTCTTATGGCCACATTCATGGCATAGTTTGTTCAAATGATCTCATATTGTGCACAAGGGTGCATATTGGAATGGCAAACAATATTGACTCAGGAAGTTTTCATTTTCTTTGGACAAAAAAATCATTTTCCATTTTTCGAGTGCCCAAAAGGAGGTTTTTTTTGTGAAGAACCTACCAAATAATTGTTGCAAAATTGGACCAAATCATTTTTCTAAAATACTAGGCCATATTTAATGCACAACTGACCAAATGGTTGGGTGTAAAAAGTTTTGATGCAGCTCTCGTGAAAAAGACAAATATCCGCCGATTCAGCTGGAAGCGGTTCAACTTTGAACTGTAGCTGCCTTGTAGTTTGCTCTTTATTTTTTCCAAAAATCATTTCTAGGTACATAAGTATCTATTTAATCAGAGAAACACCAAAAAAGTTTCAAGATTCAACCACTAGCTAGGAACGGTCATGCCCGCTGTTTTGACCGCATTTTGAAACGGGCATAAAAAATTCAAAATAAATCAAAAAATTGGGAGATCTTCGCATTGTGTCATTATATGTGGCAAAGTTCCCAGGAAAAATAATAAACTTATAATACGACAATTATTTTAAAGAAGTGTTCTCAGAAACGAGCTATCATATGTGGAGATCAATGGCTTTCAAGCCAAATGATAAATCTTATGGCCACATTCATGTCATAGTTTGTTCAAATGATCTCATATTCTGCACAAGGGTGCATATTGGAATAACAAACAATATTGACTCAGGAAGTTTTCATTTTCTTTGGACGAAAAAATCATTTTCCATTTTTCGAGTGCCCAAAAGGAGGTTTTTTTGTGAAGAACCTACCAAATAATTGTTGCAAGATTGGACCAAATCATTTTTCTAAAATACTAGGCCATATTTAATGCACAACTAACCAAATGGTTGGGTGTAAAAAGTTTTGATGCACCTCTCGTGAAAAAGACAAATATCCGCCGATTCAGCTCGAAGCGGGTCAAATTTGAATTGTAGTTGCCTTGTAGTTTGCTCTTTATTTTTTCCAAAAATCATTTCTAGGTACATAAGTATCTATTTAATCAGAGAAACTACAAAAAAAATTCCAAGATTCAACCACTAGCGAGGAACGGTCATGCCGCCGTTTTGACCGCATTTTGAAACGGGCATAAAATATTCAAAATAAATCAAAAAATTGGAAAACCTTCGCATTGTGTCATTATATGTGGCCAAGTTTCCAGAAAAATAATAAACTTTTAATACGGAAATTATTTTAAAAAAGTGTTCTCAGAAACGAGCTATCACGTGTGGAGATCAATGGCTTTCAAGCCAAATGATCAATCTTATGGCCACATTCATGGCATAGTTTGTTTAAATAATATCATATTGAGCACAAGGGTGCATCTTGAAATGGCAAACAATGTTGATTTGGGGAGTTTTCACTTTCATTGCACAAAAGAGCCATTTTCCAGTTTTCGAGTGCCCCAAGTGAGGTTTTTTTGTGAAGGACGTACCAAATAATTCTTGCAAAATTGGAACAAATCATTTTTCTAAAATACTAGGCCATATTTAATGCACAATGGACCAAATGGTTGGGTGTAAAAAGTTTTGATCCACCTCTGGTGAAAAAGACAAATTCCCGCCGATTTAGTTGGAAGTGGGTCAAATTTGAACTGCAGCTGTCTCATGGTTTGCTCTTTATTTTTTCCAAAAATCATTTCTAGGTACATAAGTATATATTTAATCATAGAAACATCAAAAGTTTTCCAAGATTCAACCACTAGCTAGTAACGATCAAGCCCGCCGTTTTGACCGCATTTTGAAACGAGCATAAAAAATTCAAAAAAAAAATCAAAAAATTGGAAAACCTTCGCATTGTGTCATTATATGTGACTATGTTTCCAGGAAAAATAATAAACTTGTAATATGGAAATTATTTTAAAAAAGTGTTCTAAAAAATGAGCTATCATGCGTGAAGATTCATGGCTATCAAGCCAAATGATCAATCTTATGGCCACATTCATGGCATAGTTTGTTCAAATAATATCATATTGTTCACAAGGGTGCATCTTGGAATGGCAAACAATGTTGTTTTGGGGAGTTTTCACTTTCATTGCACAAAAGAGCCATTTTCCATTTTTCGAGTGCCCCAAGTGAGGTTTTTTTGTGAAGGACCTACCAAATAATTCTTGCAAAATTGTACCAAATCATTTTTATAAAATACTAGGCCATATTTAATGCACAATTGACCAAATGGTTGGGTATAAAAAGTTTTGATCCGCCTCTGGTGAAAAAAACAAATTCCCGCCGATTCAGTTGGAAGCGGGTCAAATTTGAACTGTAGCTACCTCATAGTTTGCTCTTTATTTTTTCCAAAAAATATTTATAGGTACATAAGTATCTATTTAATCAGAGAAACACCAAACAAATTCCAGGATTCAACCACTAGCTAGGAACGGTCATTCCCGCCGTTTTGACCGCATTTTGAAACGGGCACAAAAAATTCAAAAAAAATCAAAAAAATTGGAAAACCTTCGCATTGCGTCATTATAAGTGACCAAGTTACCATAAAAAATTATAAACTTGTAATACATCGATTATTTTAAAAAAGTGTTCTCAGAAATGAGCAATCATGTGTGAAGATTCATGGCCTTCAAGCCAAATGATCAATCTTATGGCCATATTCATGACATAGTTTGTTCAAATGACCACATATCATGCACAAGGGTGCATCTTGGAATGAAAAACAATGTTGCCTAATGAACTTTTCATTTTCTTTGGACGAAAAATTCATTTTCCATTTTTTCGAGTGCCCAAAATGAGTTTTTTTGTGAAGGGCCTACCATATATTTGTTGCAAAATTGGACCTAATAAATTTTATAAAATACTAGGCCATATATAATGCACAATTGACAAAATGGTTGGGTGTCAAAAGTTTTGATCCACCTCTGGTGAAAAAGACAAATTCCTGTCGATTCAGTTGGAAGCGGGTCAAATTTGAACTGCAGGTGTGTCGGTGTCAAAACCGGTGGATCTCGGGTAGGGGGTCCCGAACTGTGCGTCTAGGCGGATGGTAACAGGAGACAAGGGACACGATGTTTTACCCAGGTTCAGGCCCTCTTGATGGAGGTAAAACCCTACGTCCTGCTTGATTGATATTGATGATGTGGGTATTACAAGAGTAGATCTACCACGAGATCAAGGAGGCTAAACCCTAGAAGCTAGCCTATGGTATGATTGTTATTCGTCCTACGGACTAAAGCCATCCGGTTTATATAGACATCGGAGAGGGCTAGGGTTACACAGAGTCGGTTACAATGGTAGGAGATCTACATATCCGTATCGCCAAGCTTGCCTTCTACGCCAAGGAAAGTCCCATCCGGATGCTGGACGAAGTCTTCAATCTTGTATCTTCATAGTCTTGGAGTCCGGCCGATGATTATAGTCCGGCTATCTGGACACCCCCTAGTCCAGGACTCCCTTAGTAGCCCCTGAACCAGGCTTCAATGACGATGAGTCCGGCGCGCATGTTGTATTCGGCATTGCAAGGCGGGTTCCTTCTCCGAATAATTTATAGAAGATTGTGAACACCAGGATAGTGTCCGGCTCTGCAAAATAAATTCCACATACCACCGTAGAGAGAATAATATTTACACAAGTTCAATCTGCTGACGTATTTTGTGGCGTGATGTCACACCACTACCAAGCCTTTACTCGAATCGTTTTTATTGTACCACCTCAGTGTGTTTAGCGAAGCGGTTTCCTTGGCACGTCTTGTCGAAGCAGAGATCGTGTTCCCCTTATTCCGGGATTCTCATTAATACGGACATGGGTAACCCAACC